TAAAGGGGTTGAATTTCCTGCATATAAGAGACTAACATGTATCAACTCCTTCGTTTGTAGTAATTTACCATTTGATGATAAAGGCTCTGGTATCGTATACAGACATGTTCAATAATCAAATAATCAACAACGATAACAATTACATTTTAAAAACTGTATCAATCTTCCAACCTCTGTTACAATACAGAAGGCACCCTCGCGATGTATTCGAATAATAAGCTCTTCGAACATGACATATGCAATGGAACTATTAGTGTGATCACCAAAGTTGTCGACAACAATAACGCTAAAGTTACCTTTCCTATAAAATAAAAATTAATGTTCAAAAACTATGTCATACTTCAACATCAATGGCATTCCAACTTCGAAAAGTCAGTTCCCGATCCAGAATGCACTCACGCTCACCATTCACAAGACACAGGGCTTCATGTTACCGCATTCGACCTTGACATTGATCGCCACAGGACAGATTTATATGGCGATGAGCAGGTCCTTCGATTTTGACCGTCCAAAGGCGGACGAAAATATCCTTGCTGAATACAGGAGATTGAACTACATGAATCAAAGGGATTTAAGGGAAATCAGTTAAACGTTGGTTGGTGCTGGTGCATTCCTCATAAACTTTTTTTTGAGTTGATCAGCAACGTGTCACTTATTTTTAAATTTTTTTTGTGCTCACTTGCTTATGCTCAATTAAAAAAAAACTGTAACATTAATAATATTATTAATAAAAAAATCTGTGAGAAAATCAATAATATTTGATATTGTTCTGTATATCATCATTATTTATGTTTTTTTGATCATCAATCATTTAAATATTTTGTGTAAAAAAATATTCACCGCCAATTTCTTGTCGAAACAAGTTTAGGTTCCTTGTTATAAAATCATCAGATTCTTTTTAAAAAAAAATTTGCAAATTTTTATTGAATAAAATTATTATTTAACGAAAAAATTAAAATAAAATGTCCAAACGTGAATTAATTCTCAAATTATCAAATATTTTTATCTACCTTGCAACTATTGGTGTTGTTGTCTTTGGTGGCTACTTGGATCGGGATAAAAAAGACAGAGATGATGTTTACATTTTACCAGCCTTTTACACCTTTTGTATTTGGTTCTTTATCCAAGCTCTACTTTTTGGATTCATAATTTATCAATGGTTTGAACCTGCTAATGATGTCACAGTTGAAGGTGTTAGTTGGTATAATGTCGCTGCTGGTACATTATCCATCATTTGGTTTTTACTTGCTGTAAGTATATTATCATCATTATCATTATATTTTGATAAAAATTAATTAACCATGTTTTCTTTTAGCCAAATAAAAACC